CCATACCTTCAACATATCTTCCTTTTTGATATGGGTTTATGGAATGGCTTCGGAATATTAATAATTTTACTTAAGGACCGTTAAGCCGCTTCAACAAATAAGTACATAAACATTAATGGTGCCATGAACAAACAAAATCAGTTATTTAAATATTTAAGCAATCTGCTAATGTATTAGTTTCTAGACTTTAAATACGGATGTCTCTAACTATAGTTATCAACTAATAAAAACAACACAAACTATAATTTTTAACATTAAATTTAAAAAAATAAGGGGATAATATTTATAATTACCTACATTAAATTTAACACAATAATAATAATAATAATTTGCTTCAAACTGTCCACTTATATTTTATGTTATAAAAAATGGCTTAACAAGATTAACAAACCATACAGAATGTTTTGCTTCTCTGATGACATATTACATATATGTATAAGTATATGTATAATATACATTGTATATATATATATATATATTTATATCATCTGTTAAATTTACTTATTTACCTAACACTATATATGTACATATTTTCGTGCATTGTTTATAAATGCTTTAGGTTTATTTATTGTTAATTTATTTAAAAATGTGTCAACTACCGCTATTACCGTGTTCTTTAATAATTATAAAAACGTCCTTCACGATTGCAAAATCTATTTTGCATCAAAGTAATTAACCGCTAAGATAGTGGGTTTGCACTATTATTACATGTATTATTATTTTCTTCCTTCGGTGAACGTATTTAGGAAAAAAGAAAGAACAGGCGACCACGCTATAGCAAATATTTTTCAAAATAGTCTTTAATTAATTTTATTACGATCATAATCCAGAAATCGATTGTTGGACGCTTCGGTGCGTTTCCCTGGAGCGCGTCATATACATAGTGTCCGAAAACTCCGTTCGTATATTTCTACATATGAAAACATGAAAAAGAGTTAATATGAGTATAGGTCCTTAAATGTCTTATAATGAAGCTATGACCGTCCAAAGGTGACCTACAAGTTTTTATTATATATGGTATGTTATATGAAATATGCTTAGAATTTTACAAGGAATCGAAAAATAAATACATATATAGGGTGATTGAAAAAAACTTTTTGTTTTTCCCTGTATACTGATCAATTATCCAATTTTCTTTATACGTAGAAAAAAAGTATTTTTTAGTACCTACATAACCACACTTTTTTTGAGACACTTAAAATAAAAAAGTTAAAGGGGGACGATATTATAGGGGATCATCCTGTACACAGAAAAAAAGGAATGGTTAATTTAAATATATTAATTTAGTTGACCCATATTTATTTAAATCAACCGTGGGAAGGTTAATATAAACAAAGATTAGTTGGACGGTACTAAACCAGATAGTCATTTTATTTTTATAAATTGGTTAAATTAACCCAGAAAACTTTAGTGAAACCAACCCGCTGTATGGTTCAGTTTACTAAATATGTTTTTTGTAAAATAAGAGTTACTTCAACCTTAAGCACTCTGTTAAAATGATTAAAACAATTTGCCGTGCATTCCTGGTTGCATAGTATTTACCGATCGCGGCAAAGGCGGTAGGGTTGCCAACTGTCCAGAATTTGGGTGGACGTCCACCTTTTCGGCTCATTTGTCCAGCGTCCAGTCAATACCTTTGGCTGGACGTAAAATGTTCATAATTTTCACGTTGGCACATTTTTAAATTTTTTCGAAGGATTTTTTCCACAATCCGACAACGTTGTACCAGCCATGCCTCGTGCCGCCGGAATTTAAATATTCGTGCCTGCCTCGTGCGCGCTCGACTTTTTCCGTAGGCGTTGCGTGAAAGGCTGAAACCATGCTTCTTTTATTTCTCACTCACACTCCTTTCTTACACATAAGGCAGGATCGAGAAAGACAGCACATATCGAGAATAATCCAGTCCTGTCTTATAAGTAACTTACGACTGTTGTCTTAAGATAATTATCGATTTGTTTAATTAATCGTTTGATTGTGATAATTAACGTGCGGAATACTGCGGAACTGCTGCTGCTGACCTATTTAGTTTTCTTAAAAGGTAAGACTATTTTTTGTATAATTTATTAGAACGTTTTATATTAGTTGTTTGATATAATTTTAGAATAAAATAGGACAGTACCTACTTAGTTACTATGTCATTCTCGTCATCCTTGTCAAATCCAGAAACTCCTCCAAAAAAAATTAGGCGTCTGTGCAAGTATAGAAAATAATGGGAAGCAGAATTTCCATGGGTAACAGAAGACGGCAGTTCTTCCACTGGTTTATCGAGAGGATTTTGCAAAATTTGTAAAAAAACATTTCAAGTGGGTTACTGTGGCAAAGGCGATTTAAAAAAACTCCAAATGGGGAACGAACATAAAAAAAATAGTTATGTGTTTTCCCAAGTTAAAAAAAATTTCAAATAAAATATGTCCATAATTTTGTACCTGTGTCCAGAATTTTTAATCACCTTGCCCAGAAAATCCCAAAATAAAAGTTGGCAACCCTAAAAGGCGGTGTTGCCTCTTAGTAGAAAGGGGGGAAGGAAATGGTTTTTTTGCATGCAAAAAACTTAATATTTCCACCCACCAGGAGTTCAGTCTATTTGACTTTAACTCCATCATGTCATGGAAAAGCTTTGTTGATTAAGTGAATTATTTCTTTTATCTAATGTAATAATTATTAAAAAGGCCCAATAAACTGCTGTTCAGCGCCAGCGCTTACTGGGCAGGGTAGGGGTGGTTAAAAAATGGCATAACTTTTCAAAAACATAGGGTTTTTTATTCATTTTGGGGGGCAAAGGCGGTGTGGATCGCGTGATGTTCTTAAATCTCGCCTCTGTTGACTTACATGAAGAGTATATAAGGTGAGGTAGTCCTTTGCTTTGGTGTGACACTACAAGTTGTTCGATACTAAAGAGACCTTGAATAGGTGGAAACAGCTGTCAATACTTGAAGTATTTTATTAAGTTGGTGGAACGCACTAAAAACATTATCTCTAGCGAGGTGAAGGTTTAATTATCTGGAATAATATCTCTGGTATTATACCAGTAATGCGTCAAGGAACTTCCTGTTTTTTGAAGAATATAAGAAAATGGCTTAAAAAAATGTTTCTACTCCAAACATTTCAAGATCTTATTTTTATTGTTAGGTATATAAATGCGCCAAACGATATGGGTAAGTTGTACCAAGCCGTTAACCTAGTTAGGGTAACAAATTATATTTAGTCAATTCAACCAAATGTATTTAGTACATTGGACTGGTAGGTAAAGGTCACTTTAACTATATAAATGTTTCTTTCAACCAAATATATAGTTGTAAAATATAACCAAATGCGGTTGTTAAAATAACTAAATGTTTGGTTTGGGCTAACTAAACCTTTTTTTCTGTGTACATATTCTAAATATAGGTGAGCATTGCATTTTATATTAGTTCTTGGTGCTAGAAGATTAAAAGTATCAGAGTTTCTTGAGTTAAATCTTGGCACTAAGAATTTTAAAGAAATTAATAAAAATGGACAGTCTATTTTATTGTTACATAGATTATAAATAAAATTTAACGCAATTCTATTTCTGCGATCCTGGATCTGGACAGCCTCGATACGCTGGACATGACAGGCAGTTAAACAAAAGCTTCAAAGCATCAAAATTATTAAATTTTTTTCAATTTCGAACTATAAATCCTAAGGTTTTAGACGTTTGAACAACTATGTTTTTTACCCTTATGGTTGTTAAAAGATAGTTCATTATCAAAGGTTCTGCCCAGGTCTTTTTCTTTAGTCTTTCGCTCAAGTAAAATGTCATTAATGGAATAATTAAACTGAATAAAGTTTTTTTTCTTAGTGTATATTACTACTAAACATTTTGATAAATTTAGGTAACATAAGTTTAGATTGAATGCACCAGGAATAAATCAAATCAAGGGTATTTTGTATCCTGAAACAATCATTCGAATCGTTCGATATATTTTAAGATCATCCGCAAAAAGCAACTTATTATCGGGCAGGGTAAATATAAGGTCGTTAATAAAGAGGAGAAATAATAATGGGCGATAGGTACTAAATAACAGTCTGATTCAAAACCTTCATACTTGACAAACTGATATCTACCCTGAATGTAGGATCTAAATAAGTTGAGAAGATTATTGGAAAAGCCGACATTATTTAATTTTTGAAGTAGGACTCCATGAGCGATTTGATCGAATGCCTTTTGAAAATCAAGATATAAGACATATACCTGACCTCGAGAATCCAGAGCACTACTAACATACTGAGTAAGGCAAGCCAAGTTAGTTATGCAAGATTTTTTGGACATAAAGCCATGTTGCTCGTCTGCTACCAAACATTTTTGTGGCATATATGCATATACAGTGGCGTATTTAGGGGGGGGGTCCGCCGGGTCCGGACCCCCCCCGGGCGCACATATTTTATTATTTTTATTACAAAAAAAGTTCCTTTTATTTACTATTTTATCGGATCAGAAGAGTTCCTAATTTGTGATTTTTAAGTTATTAAAGCATAGCATAGTATAGTATTTAGGATTTAGCTCCGGGGGGGGTCCAAAAAAACTAACTAAATATGTATACATATTTAGTTAGTTTTTTTGGACCCCCCCGGAGCTAAATCCTAAATACGCCACTGTGCATATACATTGTATATGTATATACCTACAATACCTTTGTTTAATGTTTATGTATAAGTACTATACATTTTATATGCTAGATTCCTCCATTTGAAAGTGCTTAAAGTATGTAACCTTGTTTTTTTTCTTTTTAATAAATAAATGTCAGTCCCATCAGTTCATTGATTTAATGTTTAATTTATTGATAACTGTAGGTATGCTCTTTAAAATTAATTAATTAAAAAAATATTTGCTCAAAATTGGAAAAAAAAATCTTAACATGTAGAACAAGAGGTTTTCAATGTTAAATGAAAAAAAACATGTACGTTTTATACGAAGTGTCTTTTATTCATGTTATGTAATATATGCGATTTATGCAATTATACATTTTTTTATTTTTCAGATTTATAGTAATTTGGACCGACATTCAGACTTAAATGGACTTATGTAAGTACTACTCAAATTAGTTTAAATTTATTAAACGATACATAAAAAGTATAATTATAAAAAACAAAGTCTGTGGGGGCCTTAAACATAATTCCGAATTTTTAAATAAAAAAAATGTACTCCCTCTGATTAGTCTAAATTCTTTTGAAGTCCCTAGGGTATATATAATTAATTACTTGAAATATCACAGCTAAACGCTCGGACACGTAAACATAATTTTTGGTCGTAGATTCCAAATCCGTGCTCGGTTTAGCTGTATCACGTCTAAAAAAGTTTTTCCTATCGGGAATCCGATCCGGGGACACACTGTATACTGGTATATTATAATTTGTAAAATAATATATTTCACTTCTTGTGCCAACATTTCTATGCTTTTTATTTCAATTAATATAATATCCTCAGGCTGAAGGACGTAAGTCAATGGCCCTTTGATACTTCAATAAAGAACATTAATAATAATAATATCCTCAATTATACTCAATAAAAAAACATTTTGAATTTCCTAAATATCTATAAAAAAACCCTTTTGTTCAATTAACTTCAAATTTTGCAAGAATTTGTTTTTTTTTTAATTTGAAACTGATGTGTGGGTCCAGCCAAATTATTTTTTTTCTTTAATTTATACAGGGTGTTTAAATTTATACAGGGTGATTCCAATATCTTTGAATTTTGACCTGATACAGCTAAACCAAGCATGGATTGTAAATTAAGTTAACGTGTCCGAGCGTTGATATTTTCACCTCCCTACAGTGTTATAGACTGATTGAATATAATTTTATCATAATGGATATTATAATAGATATTTATGTCATAAGGCTGAGGATTATTTTTGTGCTGAGCTAAAAGTTTAAATGCCGACGCGTAGCTTAGCGTAGCAATACAATTGAGCAAAGCACATGGTTATGGTTTTTCGAAGTCGGCATTTTCGGAGGTTCTAAAATATATATATATAAATATATATGTTTCAAAAAAATCGACTTTTTCTTTTTCTTCAAATGGTCGGCAAATTCTTTCAGAGGATGTCAACACAAAGACCTCGTCAAAATTTGAGCTTTTAATTTGAAGATTTAGAGGTCGCGGATCGCAATTTTCTATTTCCCATTTAAATAACATGGGAATTTTTTTTTTAACTTTGAAATTTTATACGTCTGAATCGAATCAACTTATGTCAAGGATCATCTTAGATTTTCATAGTAAATTTAACGCTCTACAAAAAAGTCTCCTATCATTTTTCTATAAATTGATTCCTTCCAGAGTTATTCGAGGCCAAAGTTTGATTTCCATCGAATATTAGCGTTTTTTTTAACATTTATGGTACAATTTTCATTATACGGGTGTCCCGAAATCAGGGGGCCAAACTTAAACAGTGCATTATTCGTATAAAAATAACACTTTTTTTGTTTAATAAACATGTATCAAAAAATGCTCCCTAAAGGGGCTACGGCCCCCTGAATAGGAGCCTAAGAGGATAATTTTTTTAAAACTATTCCTAGAGGGTTGTACATGAACAAATGAATTTTCGGTATTTTGGTAATTTTGACATGCTGAATCTAGATCTATGATCAAAACTGTTAAAATTTAATCATAGGCGTAACATTTGGAGGGGGCAAAGTTACAAAAATAGCCCCAACTTTTTTCTGGGTTAATAATTTATTTTTTTTTATGAAATTATGAGAATTTATAGTTTTTTACGAAAAATAGGTACTCTTGATTTGAATTGCTCAGATGCACCATTTTCGAGAAAAATGCATTTATAAATAAATTACTCTGCATATTATACACATCTCATATTTTCATTAAAACTTTGTAGTAGGCTTTGGAAAAAAGTGACGTTTTTTTGTTTTTTTGTTTTTTTTACAACACTTCCTATGTTTCAGATATAAATATGTGATTTTTTTACTACATGATGCTAAAAGTTGAAAAAACGAGAAAATTCGATGGAAATCAAACTTTGGCCTCGAATAACTCTGGAAGAAATCAATTTATAAAAAAAATATAAGAGACATTTTTTATAGAGCGTTAAATTTACTATAAAAAATCTATGATGTTCCTTGCCATAAGTTGATTCGATATAGACGTATAAAATTCCAAAGTTAAAAAAAAAATTTCCTATGTTATTTAAATGGGAAATAGAAAATTGCGATCCGCGACCTCTAAATCTTCAAATTAAAAGCTCAAATTTTAACGAGGTCTTTGTTTTGACATCCTCTGAAAGAATTTGCTGACCATTTGAAGAAAAAGAAAAAGTCGATTTTTTTGAAACACCCTAATATATATATATATATATATATAGACTTATAAACGCTCTTATACAGGCCCGTACAAGATAACTTTAGTACGTTTTAAAGCCCAAAGCGACGTTATAAAACCCGGCTTTGGGCTTTACAACGGAGCCCGAGTATATAGTAGCCATTCGATTCGCCTTTCTTTCTGCACCCTCCTGTTAAAATTTTTGATGGGCCTCAAAAAGTACCATTTATGCATTCATTTATACAAAAAGTTTGGAGAATTTCACTGTAGGGGGCGCTTCTGAGTATATATTTATACATTTATATTAACGTATCGTTATCAGCCCCTAAACTTGGCAACACTGCTGGGCCCGACAACGCGCGTACAATATATTTTTATAAATATACGGCGGCTTTAGAAATTAACCATAAAAGCACTATATGTAAGAGAATATTTTATTGTAGCAGTTTACTGATCTAAAAATTGCTGTTGCAGACCAAAGCGACTTACAATTTTTAAAACCGCGGAACTACACCTTTTTTAAATTTTTTTGGGTTTCCTGTAAATATGTATAATTATTTTGTTCCAGAATTCAATTATAAATTTATTTTATTTTTAATAAATTTGCGATGTTGGCAGAGGAGCTAAAATAAGTAATTACAATTATTTATTCGTGAATTACAATTTTTAGTGTTCCATTTATAACTGATTTATATATTTGCATGAATCCCCTAGGGGCAAAGTGGTGGAAAAGAGGATAAAATAAAAAATATACATAATATATTACTAATACTATTATTCCCAAAGTGTTAGTAATGATTGTTATAAAGTAAGTATAGTATTACAAAAGTTGTTCTGGTTTTACAAAAAAAGTGGCTGACTTTTATAGCAATTAATAACCATGTATAGAGAACTGTTTAGTAATTAGTACTAAAAAATTAAAATGGCCTCAAGTAATTAATGGATGCCCCCTAATTAATTACCACGAGTACTATTTGCAACTACAAATAATATTTGCTATCACACACCTTAAAATATTCGACATATATTTTTAATTGCGAGTTGTAATTGGAGGACAATTTTATCGAACAAATGATTAAAAAATTGATAAATTAAAAAATATTTACCTGGTAGCACTAGTGTCATATTCGCTGCAATTTGTACTAGTCCAATTTTCTAAACAATTATTCTGATAGGCCAAAAATTGTCAAATAAAGCTCAGAGCCCTTGGTTTACTTTTGGCAGATGGCAGGTAAAAAATTGCCCTACATAGTCTAAGCGATTTTTGGAATTAAAAATATATTAATATTTCACCATAATATTTACTTTTATCATACACACATTTTTTATATACAGGCGTTGAGTGAAGGAGCAGTTATAAAGAAAAGAGACTAAACATTGTTTTTTTCAGTAATGTGACACATTTTGAAAGTCTATACGCTCACAAAACCCCTGTTGGTTATTATTCTAAACAAGAACATTTTTAAAAATATTCGATTGTAGTTTAAAAAAAATACTGCCGGCCAATAAATATATTTTTCAAATTTATAGAAAACACCTAACCCCTTAAGGGGTAAACTTGATTATATCTATAATATAGATTCTACATATCATTTTATGCATATGTACGGAGAGAACAGTTTTGGGAATGTTACTAAAAAATTTAGTAATTTGGGGACAGCTTTAATATTTTAGGAGTGAGCGCTTTTGTGTTTAGTAATAATTTTCATATATTTAGCATAAGTGTTGTTTGGCAACTATGCCTTTACTGAAAAATAGTAATTACAAAATGAAGGAAGATCTAAACTTAAGTTTAATAACTATAACTATACTATAATTATAGTAGTTAACTATTTTGAATTTACCATTAAATTTGCACAATTAAATAATAAAAATTAATTTAACCGAATTAAACGATAACCAACAAAATGCAAAAGATGCCGACAGGGCCAAATTTACCGAACAGACAACGTAGGCAGCTGCCTAGAACGGAAAAAATTAGGGGTAACTAGACAATAGTGTCGAGCTGTGAGGAACTAGACAGTAGTGTCAATATTGGAACACTCGATCCAACTTGCAATTTTCGAAAACAAATAATATTAAAAGCTCATATGGGATGAATCTAGAGATGAAGGGAAAACTTCAATATAAATACTTTGGATGAATTTGGGCAGATTTTTTTCTAAATTAGTATAGCATACAAAGTTCTTGATTAAAAATAACCAAGAATTTTTGCATGCATTGTTTGAATAAACACTTCATGACAAGTGTCTTCAATTAAAAAATTTCAAGATATAGAATGTTTAAGAATAAGATGATGATGAAGTGAAAAACTGCTTAAGATAAAAATTTGTTGAAGAACGATTAAACGCACTCTCTCTTAGGTATAGAGTCAGATTGTCTCATGTCTTATTTCTATATTATAGACATGCCAAATTTCTAAATCCGAACCTGTAGCCGACTACATAGAAAAATAATATTGGGAATTTGCTTCCACACTTTTAGTATATTAATTATTATATTATTATTATATTAAATTATTAATATATTGTGAAAAATTTTAATATAACTTAAAACTATTATTGAAATGTATTCTAAATTAAAAAAGTAATAAATTATTAACTTAATAATGACACGTTAAATATTAATTATTAATATTTTATTTTATAGTAATTACTATAATAGTATATTATGTATCAAGTTTTATAAACGATATTTTAGTTACGAGTTTAATTAAGCAAGAGCGAAGCTTGCGAGCGAGTGTTTAATAA